ACATTCTTCATGAACTGGAAGTACTGCTTATCGTTGTCGTTATGAATGCCTCCGAACTCGTTCTCGAATTGCATGGCTATTATGGGACCGCCTTTCGTGAACTGGTAGTCGTTAATAATGTCGAGTATTTTCTTATAGTACTTCTCCGTCGCATCCAAGTGTGGCTTATAGTTGGACCGAAACTTCATGTTGGGATCCCTGAGCAGCCACGAGGGGTAACCCCCTAAGTCCCACTCACCGCACATGTAGGGCCCGATCCGGTACATGACAAACATGTCGGCGGCTTTGACAGCCTCGAGGAAGTCCTTCAGATTCAGGTAACCCGTCTCGAAGTCCCAGTGGTCGGGGGTCTCCTCGTGTAGATTCCATGGGGAGTATGTTTGCACCTATAGATGAGCGCAGGTATGTTATAAGGTATGTGCTATGGCTATGGGGTATATTTACGGTGTTAAGTCCGGCGGCCCTGAACTTCAAGAGCCTGTCCTTCCAGTAGTCTTTGGGTAATCGGAAGTAATGCAAAGAACCGCTAAATAAAGTGATTTTCTTTCCGTTGAGAGTGAAGTCTACGGAGTCGGCCCTCAGACCCGATTTGATACCACCGGACGTGTAGTACTCGTAGTTTGTCTGTTCGGCACCATTACTTTGGGCACAAAATACGGCAAATACTAAACATAATGTTAAACAGATATTCATATTGTTTTATGTTTCTAATTGTATTTTCGCGACAGACTGTTAGCACAACTGAATAAATGTTGAGAAACACAATATCTATTGTGTTTTCAGTATTTAATTCATTAAACAACTCTTTTATAGCAAATACCCGGTATTTACTGGTATATTGAGACCTACATTATAAGTAACACAGTTAAAGTGTTTGTAGTATACGATAAGCAAGTACTCGAGATAAAATATTTAAGTTTATAAGTCACTTTGATAATTTATTTGGTATCCATTTGTAAATTAGTGAAATTGATTTCTAAACAACCATTTGGTGACAATTTGACACATGTTTTAGTTCACAGACACAACACTGAGCATTAAAAATAGGATTTTTGTTTTCACTTTTACAGTACAGAAATCCCTTTCCAATCATTACTGTTATCTAACATTCCTATTGATAATATGTGTTCAAAATGATTGGTATTTTCCATTCGCAGACTTTGTCCCAAATTAAATGTACACAAAAGTACATCTAATCTG